GGGAAAAGAAAAAAGAAAAGAAAAGAAAAAAGAAAGAAAACGAGTGGAACCGAGGCAAGACGTCGCAGGCCCCAAAACAGGGGCGGTCCGAAACGGATCACGCAGTATTGGCCGGCCCAGTGTGCTAGTGCGGGCCTGAATGGCTGCCTTGCAAATTGCGACCCCTGCCCCTGCGGCCCACTCTTGTCTCCAGTTGCCGACACGCCAGACGCCATTGCTGATGTGCTGATGCTGCCTCCAGCCAGTAAGGCCACCTCCTCCTGCCTTGCCTTGCCGAGTCACAACGCCTGTGCTGAATCGAGCCATATTTGGGTGCTTCAGTGCTTCGGTGCTCTAGAGTCACACCGCTGAGATCGTCGTCCTTTTCTCGTTTCTTTTTCACCAGCGGTGGCTTGCTGGCCTGTCCAACCAGCCGAGCCGACAGCCGACGCACCCGACTGGCAGGTCAACCGGAAAGGACAAGCCGGAGAGGGCATATGAAGTCCTCGCAGCGCCGATCCGACTCAGCTGCGCCTCTGCCCGACCCTCCCGACCCCCAGGGCCAGCAGTCATTCCCGCTTCGCAGCCTAGCCCCAGCAAGCGACAGCTCACGCCCCACGCCGCCCGCTCACACGCCCTGCGCCGCTGGCCCCCTCCTCCACCAAGATCCCACATTCGATGCACCACACGGTGCCCACGCGGGCCGGCCGTCGTCATCTGAAGGCACCTCGGCCCATCCCCCAAGCCCCTCTAAAGCTACCGCCGACGCTGCTGCTCGCTGCGAACAGCCCGCTCTTCCCATCGCCTCCCATGGCAAACGCCCTGCACCTGAAGAGGAGAACGTGCCGGCCGACGCCGACGCCGACCACAACTTCCGCTCCGCCGCCGCGACGACGCCCGAGACAGCCACTCCGTCCATGAGGCGGTCCACCCCTTCGCTCCGGGACGCCGCCGAGTTCCGGAGTAATGCATACGGCGCCGTCTCGGTCGAGAACGGCGCGTCGCCCAACACGGGCCGCGCCCCTACCCGCAGCCCGGAGCGGCGGCGCAAGTCGGAGGACCTGGGCCGGCTGGCGGGACGGCGCTCCGGGGAAGAGCTGGGCGCTTCGTCGGTGCTCGGAGGACTCCAGGGTCGCTTCGGCGTCACCGAGGGCGCCCTACCAAGCGATACCAAGCTTGGCGCCGACAGCAGTGACGATGACGACGATGAGAGTGTGCCCCTGGAGCCGGGCGACGGCGCCGGCGAATACGACGATGACGACCTCGATCCCCCAGACAACTCTCCCTACGCTCAAGTCCGGGCCTCGGTTGCGCCCGTGGACAACACGTCGCTCTCGATAAACACCCCGCGCATGTGGTTCCTATCCACGCTCTTCTCCATGCTCGGCTCCTCCACCAACCTCTTCTTCTCGCTGCGGTATCCCAGCGTCTCCATCACACCCGTAATAGCCCTGCTCCTGGTCCACCCCCTGGGCCTGACGTGGGACTACCTGCTCAAGCGCAAGGGCGACCCGTCGGAGGAGTTTGTCGACGGCTCCCGCGTTGCCTCGGACAGCCCCGCGTCGCCGCGCGAGGCCCGGCTGCCTCAGAGCCGGGCGCGCCGGCTACGGCTCTGGCTCGCCCAGGGCCGCTGGAACGAGAAGGAGCACAGCTGCGTCTACGTTAGCAGCAACGTGTCGTTTGGCTTCGCCTTTGCCACGGACGTCATCGTCGAGCAGACCAAGTTCTACAAACAGGACGTCAGCATCACCTACCAGCTGCTCCTGACTCTGTCGACGCAGATCCTGGGTTACACCTTCGCCGGGCTCACCAGGCGCTTCCTGGTTCGCCCCAGCGGCATGATCTGGCCGTCCACGCTCATGTCGGCCGCCATGTTCACCACCCTCCACAAGGAGGAGAACAAGCCGGCCAACGGCTGGACCATCAGCCGCTGGAACTTTTTCTATCTAGTCTTTACGTGCGCCTTTCTCTTCTACTTCCTCCCGGGCCTGCTGTTTCCGGCCCTCAGCTACTTCAACGTCATCACCTGGTTCGCTCCCAAGAACGTGGTCGTGGCCAACCTCTTCGGTGTCGTCTCGGGGCTGGGCCTGTTCCCCTTGACGTTTGACTGGGCCCAGGTCGCCTACATTGGCTCCCCTCTCCTCACGCCCTTCTGGGCTGCCATGAACGTCGTGGGAGGCCTGGTGGCGGTAATGTGGATCATCGCCCCCATCGCCTACTACAGCAACTGGCTGTATTCCTCCTACATGCCCATCCTCTCCGCATCCGTCTTTGACAACACGGGCAAGATCTACGATGTCAGCAGGATATTGACGCCCGATTTTGTCTTTGACGCGGACGCCTACAAGAACTACAGCAGGGTGTTCCTCCCCATTACGTACGTGCTGAGCTACGGTGTGCAGTTTGCCGGCCTCGCGGCACTACTGACGCACACGGCATGCTGGCACGGCCGAGACATCTGGACACAATGGACCAAGTCTCTCCAGGAGGCGCGGCACGAGTCCAAAGCCCCGGTCGTCTACCAGCCCCTGGCCGGTGCTCCGGCAGCAGATGGCGCGGCGAACGCGGGAGCCCGCGACGGCCCAGGTGTCAGAATTCGACGTGAGGCCTCGATTGGCAGTTCTGCAGGTTTCGAAAACTTGCTGAGCCGCGAGGACGTACATAACCGCCTGATGAGGCGATACAAGGACGCCCCCATGGCCTGGTATCTCATCACCTTCATCTCAATGACGGCCATTGGTATCTTTGTCGTCGAATAGTGAGTGGCCATCTCCCCTCGTGAACCACGATGCCGGCCCAAAACAAGACCACGGTGCTGACCAAGGCTGCATGGACACAGCTACCCTATCCACCTCCCGTGGTACGGCCTGCTCCTGGCTCTGGGCATCTGCAGCGTGCTGTTCATCCCAATCGGCATCATAATGGCGGTCACGAACCAGCACAGCAGCATCTACCTGATCTGCCAACTCGTCTGCGGCGCCCTCTTCCCCGGGCGCCCCGTGGCCAACATGGTTTTCGTCACGTACGGCTACATCTCGTCGGCACAGGGCATCAAGTTCGCGGCGGACCTAAAGCTGGGCCACTACATGAAGATCCCGCCTCGGATCCTCTTCATGGTGCAGATGGTGGCGACCATGGTGTCGTCGCTGACGCAGATCGCGGTGCTCAACTGGATGTTTGCCAACATACCCGGCATCTGCACCCCCGAGGCCCTCAACGGCTTCACCTGCCCCATCGCGCGCGTGCACTTCAATGGCTCCATCCTGTGGGGGGTCGTGGGGCCGCGCGAGTTCTTCGGCGTGGGCGCCACCTACCGCCCCCTGGTCTGGTGCTTCCTGCTCGGGGCCGTGGCCCCCGTCCCGCTGTGGTACTGGTCGCGCGGGAGGAAGGACAGCATCGTGCGCAAGATCAACCTGCCCGTGCTACTGGGGTCGCTGAGCTGGATCCCGCCGGCGACGGGGCTCAACTTCTCCGTGTGGGCCGTCGTGTGCTTCTTCTTCAACTACCTGCTCAAGAACCGCGCCACGGCCTGGTGGGCAAAGTACAGCATGACGCTGAGCGCCGCCCTCGACTCGGCCCTGGCCTCGGGCATCGTCGTCGTCTTCTTCACCTTTATCTACCCGGGCGTCATGGACGGCTTCAAGTGGTGGGGCACCGAGGTCTACAAGCAGGGGTGCGACTGGCAGGCCTGCTCGTACATGACGGTGCCGCAGGGCGGACGCTTCGGGCCCGATACATGGTAGATAACGGGGTTGGGGGTGTTTCTTTTTTTTTTTTTTTTTTTTTGAGTCGATATGCTGCGTACCTATTTAGAGCGCTGATCTATCATCAGGCTAGATATTGCACATGTTTACAACGGGGCTGCCTAGCGCTCTGTGGGAGGGATGGTGTTTTTTTGTATTACGTTTTCCTATTTTGCATTAGTGTCACCGGAGATAGATGGGTCATCACGCAGCAAACTTGTTTTTTTAGTCTATTTCAAGGGCATGGAGGGGATGTTTGCATTATTTCCTATAGACTTGACGCTGCGATAGACAACATAACCGGCCGTTTTCTGCCTGGGGATTTCTACCGTTCAGACGACGTCTGGGCGTTGTCCATCGTTGTTCTTGTCCGTGATGACGTTTTTGTGTTCCTTTGACGATCTCGCCCGAACTACCTACTGTGCACGCAGACAAATCCAATCAAGTAACAAGCGACCACACGCCAGCCACTCCCACTCCCACTCCCCCGCCCCCGCCTCACTCTCGAGACGGTAGCTCCGGGCGGCGCCATGGATAGGTAGGCAGTTGTCGGTCAACCCCAGATCCCAGGAGATGGAAAAATGGGCGCGCCCCGCCTTGGCTCGCACGTGGGCCCGACTATCGCGGTCACGCTAGCCGATTATCCCTCGCCTTGGTCTTTTTTTAGTTTCCGGTTTCTTATCATCTCGATGGTCAACGACAGGTTATGTAGCCTGCCCAAACCCCCCCGCGATACCCGCGGTAGACGGTCTCCCGTTCCTTGGACGCTGCGAAATCCCCAGGATCCAGGGTCGAGGTCACCTCCCCTCGTCTTTCCCGATTCTGACACCTCCGGGCCTACCACACACACACACACACACACACACACACACACAAGATACTACCGTAGGGCGGCGACGGTCCG